GGACGGCGGGGGTAGTTAGAGAAGAAGCTGAAAAGAGAGAGAGAGAGGGGGGAGGTTGAGCGAGCAAGCTACACAAGGGTTAACGCCTTAGCAGTAAGAAGGGCGTTTTAACTCCTGTTTTGCATAGATTTGAATAGATAAGGAGGACAGGAAAATACGCGAATTAATTTATTATGTATCTCTGGCTGGTTGCCGCCCGGAGGGGTTTTAAGCGAGCAACCCGAACGGAACCGGCTTTACTCTTTACTTTCGAGCCTGCCCGTCACCCTTTAGCCCAACGTCTTTAAACGCCGCCCCCCTAAGTTTCCCGACGGCTCTCACTCTCCTTTCCTCCGCTCTCTTTCTCTTTCTTCTAGCTATGACAAACGTAATTCGCTTCTGAATCTCACGGCTTAGAGTTTCAGGGAAGATGGAAAGAATCTGGAGGCGGGTGACGTACTTTTTTCTCTTGTTCGTTTTCTGTTTTCTTAATCGCTGTGCAATTAAGGAAAGAAGGAGATTTAACGTTTTCTATTGTATTTTCAGTCATAGCGTATGTTCTATGTGAATAGATTTTAATCGTATGTTCAGGTAGGAGCATATGAAATGTCCCATTCTTAAGGATTCATATTTTACTGAGTTCTGGAAAGAACACATGTAGATGTTTATGTAAGTGTTAAGGGGTTAAAATTACCATTATTGTATTTCGAAATGATATATTAGATATGTTTATATTTATTTTGAGAAAGGGAAACATTTCGGAAATTGGTATAACAAGGTTATTTCCAATGAGTGTCTTACGTATCACCGATACATACTACTAGTTCCCTGGATACTTCATACGCGATAGACTACAACAGAGCTGTGCAAGCCGTTCTTATTATTTAGTAATTTATTACGCATAGCTATTTTCTGTATTAATATTTCCAATATCCGACTTTCAATATCTGATTTTCAATATCATTGATTCGTACTACTAATTCGCGGTAGAAATTACTTTTTACCAAGATTATCATAATTCTACCATTTTCAATTTTAACGAAATTGACTCGATCAGTATATTTCATTCACGACTCATTTTAATGAGACTGTCTGCGTTACCTGTCCTTATTATACAATAATTTATTCCGACTAATTATCTCTAATCGTTACTTTCAACGATTGTCTGCCATACCACTGACTCATACTGCTAGCTGCCAATATAAGCTACTTTTTGCAAAGATTATCGTAATGTTTTCAATTACATCTTTTATTAAAATCATTAGACGATATTATAGCTCTAAAAATTAGTTAACCACAAGCTTCTCTGGCCAAGTTTCAAACACGACAAGTATCGAGAAATAACACGAACGCGTAACCCGACGTGTGGGGTGGTTAAAACAGCGGAGCACATTTTGAACATGCTGCTCGATAATACATCATCCCTTAAAGCTTCTGTACCCCGGTGGAAGGTACACATAAAGGCAACTAACCCTAGGGCCGTAACGTTTAAGCTTAACATTTCTCACCCCTTAAAGGGTAGCGGCTCCTTGAACCCTTTCAGCTCTCTGGCGTGGTTGTGTCTCTTTCCCTCCGACTCTTTCAGAGGCTCTCGCCTGGCTTCTCCCCTCATTAGTCTTCATTTGTTTTCGGAATTATCGCCCGCCACCCTCCAACCTGGCACGCGAACTCTCTCCCCCTCCGAAAAGGGTGCCAGCCGTTTTGGGGGTTTATTAAATTGAAAGTATGTTACGAGCTGGTTGAAACAGATACGCGCCGCTGTCAAATACCGAAACTCTCCAGTTCCGTTCTATCAGCGATTAGGAGAACCGAAATTCCCTCAATTCTAAGGGATGAGACGATTTTGCGAATTTTCAAATACGAAATCTTCCAAAGTGTCACATATAAAAATTTGGAAACTTTCGAGTATAAAATTTTGCCAAGTCTCAAATATAAAAAAAAAAATAAAATTTTGCGGAGTCTCGAACACAGAAGATTAGGAAAATATTAGGAATATAAAGATTTGGAAAATTTCAAGTATAAAAGTTTACAAACTCTCAAGCATACGATTTTGGAACCTTTTGGCATACAGAAATACATTCTTCGGTATGAAAGTTTCTATTAATACGTTCGAAGGTTTAAAGATATCTTCGTTTAAAATAAATATGAATTCCTGTGCGAAGATTCGAGGGTGGATTTTCAGAGAATAGGCAAGCAAAGTCGTCACTTACGGCGCATCAGGTACAGGAAACCCTTGGCCTCCTTAAGCTCGCTCACAGCGTAGCTTTCGCGCGCCTCTTATCGTTTTCTTAATCCCCTCATAAAGTAGCTGCATCCTACAACCTTCCACCCCTCTCTCTGTCTCTCCGTCTCTCTTTTCCTCTGTGAGTTTCCAGCTGGGTTGCTCGTAGTTCCACGACGATGTGGTAGAACGCGAGATAGTGGTGTCCTCTCTGGCAAGCTCGGCTTAAAGAGAGCTTAAAAATCACCCCTTCAACCCCTACCGAGCTTTTTCCATCCCTTCTACCAACCATACAACTGTTGGAGGGGATTCAATGGCAGCCAATAGCGATGGTCGCGAGCTATGTACGCCACGCCCACGTTCCAGTGACCAGACAACCCTCCCCACTCTTTAACAGACTTCCCCTACTTGTCACCCCCGTTGTGATCCCTACCCCTGAAGCCGGTGGCTTCGGAGCTTTCACGGAATTTTTAAACTGCCCCGCACAGATGACGGTATAATCTGCTATTGATCAAGGTGTTTCGAAAAACCGATACCATACCGATGACTACGGGCTTCACTTTTACTCCTTTCCACCCCCAAACGTCCGCCACCCCTGCTCGCGAGCTACAACTCGTTCCGCCGCGGTTTCCTAACTTCTTTACTCGATCGTTTCTGTTAACGCTTCCACTTCTCCTCGTTTTTATCGTGTTAGTTTCAAGATCGAATATTTATCTATTTTTATATCCTCTGGGGGATGAGTTTTTCGATGATTCGATGTAATAGATATAATTAGGATTAATTTCTTCTTTTTTTTTTAACCTTGGTTTTCGTCTGTTTAAGAAGAAGGCAATGGAAGTTTGGAGGAAGGGTAATTGCGTTGGAACAGGTTAAGCTTTGTGATGTCCTGAATTTAATTGTATAGCTGCATATGTGAACGATTCCCATGGTCACCCGGTATCGGCTAGAATTGAAATAAAAAAGAAAGGTGATCGATCGTTTCTCTATTCTCTGTTGGATAAATTTAACTGTCCATCCACGTCAAACGTTCGCTACGTCAAAGAGAAGCGTTTCTGTACCTCTATCTGTCATCCGCCGATCGTTTATCCACCTGACATTATATAACATTTCCACATCTCCTCCAGAGTGCGTTTCTTTTTCAGTCTCGTTGCTATTTATTGCGGTCGTTCCTCACGTTCTATATTCATCCTGGGCCAAGATTGATTCCTTTTAAAAGTGGCGTTCAATTTTTTATTGGATACGAAATTGTCTCTTTGAAAATACAAAAACCTTTAATTGATATAGTTTGAAAATAAAAGTATAACATGGTAATTACGTTGCGTAATAAATTCGTTCACTATCTAATCTATATTTTTAGTCGCGGCCTACGAACATATGATAATATGAACATATGATAATATGAACATATGATAATATGAACATCTCCTTCGTGGTACACAGTGCACGTTTACAATGTTCCAAATTATAATAATGGAATATTTACTGCACCATAAATATCGGAACATCAATTATCCTAATATTTGCAGAAATATTGTTCGCGAATAATCGTCGAATAATTTAAAGAATACCAAAGTTCTATTCGTAAAAGGACAAAATCTTTGCGAACTAAAATGAGCGCAGTTTATAGTTCGCTTAATCTACTTGCAGAGGATAATAGAACAAAATAATACATAGATATGTTTTCTCAGGTTCGTCTAAGGAAATATGAATGAATTTATTACACAACCAAATACGTCTGGAAAACTACAAAATTGAAGAATAGTTTACAAAAAAAGAAAACAGCTTTTTCTCGTTTTGAGAAGGACTTTGGTCTTTATCGATCGAAGAAACGGTGGCCAAGGTGCTGGCCAAAAAGCCAAGCGACTGACAGACATTATTTTAGATCTCTTGGATTGCACAGGCTTGCAACACCTGGGTCTGGAGCAAGGAGCCAGCCAAGGGTGGGGTGGATTACCTCGGGGCTCTCTTCCGCCGCACTGTCTTCCGCCGCCTCCCGGTCACCATTCGCATACACATCCTCCGGCAGCTGGTGCGTCGGCCTTCAATCCCTTCCACCACAGCATCGAGCAAAGATCTCCTAGACTTCCTGGACCTAACTCTGGTAAGCCGTTTTTAACTTTATCGTCTTATAAATAAACTGCGGATCTTTATGTGTTTGTGGATTGTTGCAAGCTGCAGCGATGCACATAATATGCGAAAATATGAAGCGCATCTTTATATATTTATGGAATATTTAACGATACTGCGCGAAATAATTAGAAGATAGTTTGCTCCGTGTGATTCTGATTTTTATACGAACTATCTTTGCCTGCGTGTCCTTTTAATTGTTTTAGCATTGAAATTAGCAGCGCGATTTAAATGATCAATTCGTGGTATTCTAAAGGGTATTTTTAAAGACTTTTCAAGATTGCAATGATTTTGGTAAACTATATGGATGATGGGATCACTCATTATATATTTTGTATGATTATTCGTAATAGTTTATATTAATATCGATTATATCAATTATTTGACTTTTTTGAACAGCTCGTATAAATCCTTGTATATGATGATAAATTCATAAATTTGCATAAACATCCGTAGTTTACATAAAAGGCCATGGCATGCTGCAAAAAAAAAAAAAAAAAAAAAAGAATTACC